AGCATCTAAAAGCTGCTGAGCAGCTCACTCGTGAGTCTGTCCTGTGCTGGAGAAACCATCTTATGGAAAAATAGCTGTATCTAATACCCAGGTAACTGAGCTCCAACTGTCTGTCTGTTATGGCAATGCCAACAGGTTTGCAGTGAAAAGACTCTCCTGGAGAAGCAGTGGAGTGTTCTCTAAAGCATCACACCTCCCAGCATGAAGGAAAGCTGTTTTTTTTTTCCCCACTGAAGGACACACATTACTTGGTTAATGTGGCAGAGGGGGGAGATGGCTGATGAGGAAGGGCTGCATCCCATCAGTCAGCAGCTGCCTTTGATCTTGATGCAGGTCTGGCTTTCCAGCAAAGAACTCTCCCTATGTACTTATTAACCTTCATCATGGGAAAAACCAAGGAGTTGCTCTTCTGCGAGATCTAGATAGCAGTGAAAGTCTGATTTCTGCGTGATGCACGTGAGCATTTAGTGGTTTCTTGCAATGAATCTTATCTTCATGGGCCAGGTCCTGATACGGCACAAGAGGCTGAGGGATGCCACATACTGCCCTGCTACATGTGCCGTGATGATCTGGATACACACGGGTGAACACAGAAATTCATCTTTGCTCAGGGCTGGGTTTAGAAATACGGCCAGGTCAACCCAAACCTCCCTCCCCAGGTTGCCAGCTCTTTGCTGTTTTGAGGCAGGATGTATTTTTGCTTTCAGTCCCCAAAGGCTGATTGGTTGAACATGAGCTGGTGGCAGAAAGCATCTGTAAATCTAGCTGGCCTACGTTCCTTGAGGAGAGCTTGCTGCCGAGGGGCGTCGGGATGATTTTGGGTGTTTAACAGGGCAGCTCATGGATACTCTCTGAGGTGGATCAATATACTCAGGGCCTGTTGGATGTCTAGGTGTGACAGATCTCGTCCCACCTCAGCATTGAGTGTTGGGGATGAAACCTGTTCTGCCTTCCCAAAAGACAAAACGGGAAAAAAAAATCGCTCCTCATGTTCAACCCATCTGCCAGACAGTCTTCCCTTTCCTCAGTCTGACATGTATGGGGGTTTTTTTTGCTGTTGCAATCATTCTCTTTGCCCCCTTTTCTAGCTCCACTTGTAACAGATGCAGCCGTTTCTGTACTGGCTGCTCCCCAGGATAACGACCTGTACAAAATACATATTTCCAGTTTCCCAGCAAAGCAAAGAGCTGAGCATCACAGGCAGGGCCCAGCGCTTGGGGACCCCAGCTGCACCAGCTGGCTGCCAGCTTTGCAGCTTCACGGGGAGAAAATGTTTGGGGGTTGCAGGGGTCAGCCTGGATCTTCACCAAAGCCAGGACTGAGCTCCTGCCAGCCAGGGCAGGATAAAACCTGACCCCTGAGAGCAGAGCAACCCCTCAGCAGGTAGGTTTTATCTAATTTCTGAGCAGTTATGAATGAGAAACCTCTTTATCAAGACCTCCTGTCTGGACAGATATTGCCTTGCCTGTGTGCCTCTCTGATAAGCAGCAGGACTGTGGGTGCCCGTGCACCCATGGGAACCCATCAGCCCAACTGGCTGCTTGTTGGAAATACAGGAGGCAAAGTAACCCTGTGCTGCCTGGTGAGAAGAGCAGCACAGGGTGGCTGTGAGCACCCACGCCAGCCTGCTCCTCTGGGCCGAGCTGCGGCGGCAGCGTCTATCTGGCCTACAGCAGGGCAGGGCTGGTGTCCACCAAAACCAAAGAACTGGCTGAAACACCCCCATGATGTCTCTCCGGGTTACTGAAATGGGCACACTGGGAATTTTTTATACCCTACATGCCCTGGCCTCGGCAGCAGGATGGATATTCTCATACAGGCACTCCTGCACTCGTCCCCACTTAGTGTTGTTACTAAATTACTTGTCCCTCCTGAAGCCAACTGGCTTCAGATAAAACAGCCCCGAGAGTTACAACTAGGTTCATCATTTCAGGTTTAGAAATGTTTATTATAGCTTGGAGGCTGCTCACAGGTTTTTCAGGCACATAGTCAAGAGTCACCTGCCAGGGGAATTTTAGATCAGATATTAGGAAAAATGTCTTCCCCAGAAGAATTGTCAAGCCCTGTGCCAGGCTGCCGAGGGCAGTGGTGGAGTCCCCATCCCTGAAGGGATTTCAAATCTGTGGGCATGTGGTGCTGAGGGACATGGGTTAGTGGTGCCCTGGCAGTGCTGAGTTAACAGCTGGACTTGATGATCTTGAAGGTTTCTTCCAACCAAAACACTTCTGTAATGCTAGGAGTCCTGCGTGTCTGGTCAAGGGGCCGGGCACACAGTGCTGAGGCAGATCCCTCCCTCTGCCTGCCCCATTCTCCCCAAATTAATACTTTAGAAAAATGCAAAGCTCTTAATCTGCTTTGCATGTGATTTGAAAATGATGGCAGCACTTCAGTGCAGTAGTTGTAGGAAACACTCAAGGAGTGAGCTGTGTTCTCAAATACCTGCTTCTCATTGATTTTCTTCTTTAGATAGGCTTATTCTGGTGGGGCATTTGTTCTTCCAGTCTGTATACACAGGATCTATGCCAGAGGTGTATTATCCTGTGAATCTTCCTTGCAGTTTATGGGAGGTAGATCTGAGGTAGCTGACCTAGGTACGGTGACTGCCCTGTCCTCTGTGGATTTAAAACATTTGGCTTAAATAGCTGTCTTTCTCTTAAACTCTTGTAGTAGTGCAAGGGCACGTTTCAAGGTTAGCGTTCCAATATGGTATAGCTGGGTGCTGTTCTCTGTTCAAAAAGAGTGTTTCAACTTCCAGCAATTTGTTGCCCCTAGTGCAACATAAAGCTTTTTTATTTGCACTGATTATGTGCATTTTATGTCCCAAGTGGTTTACAGAGAGGTAAATAATTGCACAGCATTCCTTGGTCATCCCATGATGCTCCACAATGGGCCTACTTTACTCTTAAGACTTGCACATCCCAGGTTGCTTCAGATCCAGGTCTCCAGTATCACTTTCATGTTTGTAGGAAGATGGAAAACTCTTGCTTGCCAAGCACAGCAGGACAGGAGGAGATGGGCAGAGGTTTCTGGTCCCTATTACACAGGTGTACGTGAGAGAGAGGAGTGGAAAATTTGCCTCCATCTTCCTATGTTTACTGATTGTAAAGCAATCTCATTTCCTGAGGTGTGCCGCTGACACAGAAGAAAATAACAAAACCATGTGGCAAAACTGCCAGTGCTACAAGTTCCCCCTCAGCTGATGGTAGGAGACAGATAACTCGGCTCTGTGAGATCCCTCTCCAGATACGGGGCTTTTGCAGCTCTCCCCTGCCCACGGGGGCCCCCCCTGCTCCTGAGGATCCCGGGTCCCAGCGTGGGCACCAGTCCAGCTGCATTGTGCCAGGGTGGAAAAAGCGCCGGGCTGGTGGGAAGCGTGGTACCAGTGGAGGGAGCAGAGGGGTGCTTTCCCTCCTGGGGGTTGTTTGTGCACGCCGGAGGGGTGCAGGGGGGGTCAGCACGTGCCCGTGACCAGTGGAAAATGAGAGGTCCTGTTGCAGGAGGGGTTTCCGCGGCCGTGGGTGGCTGGAGGCTGATGGCCGCCCCCACGCCTGCACCCGGCTTCCTATTGATGCTGAGAGATGCTTTAACAAAAAAAAGACAAAGGAAAGAAAAGACTGGTGCTAAAAATACAAAGCAGAGACGAGGCTGGTAGGAATAACTGCTGCATGTGAGTGCTTTCACACCTGCTTGGTTTCAGTCTCCTGTTTTTCCCGAGTCAGAAAAAACCCCGTGTGGAGAAGCTCAGGATAAACCCATTGATGCTGAATGTACAGCTCAATCCCTCAGTCCGGTGGTAAATCCCCACCCAGAGGAGGGAGCTGCTGGAAGGGTCTCCTCCACCACTCTTAGGGCTTTGGTGGAGCACCGTGCCCTGGGGAAAGTTGCTGTTCAGCCCAGGTCCCCACCAGGGGCCTCCTTGGGCTTTCCACCACGTAAAAATAGATTGACCACAGACAATTTACACAATCAGCGGCGGCATTGTCAAAGGGGCTAGCAGCAGCTAGGCCCGCGTGTCAGTGTCCCAGTTAATCCAGCTGCTAATGGTATGACTAAGAAAAACCCCACCACTTAGACAACCTTGTTTGTAATTTACTCTTAAGTGAACTCAAGCCTGGTTTAATCACGACTAAAAGGCAAGCAAAAGGTACAAGCTAGCTGGAAGGCAGTTTCTGTGTGTCTACCCATACAATGGCTCTCAGGGCTTCTCAGACAGGCTCCTTGTGGAGCCATGTGCTATCCAAACCCTTTGCCACCCTCCCTGGCGTGCTCGCACCACACAGCAATGATCTGGCTGAGGAAACCTCTTCTGCCCTTGCAGAAAGGAGCTGACACATTTCTACCAGAATATCTTCCCCAAATGAATACGGTTTTTTCACTTCTACTCTCAATAGCTAAGATTGTGCTTTCAAAAAAAAAATCTCCCAAACCTGGCATGAGATTCCAGAGATAATTTACTTTTGTGGAAAAAGTTTATTTCCCAGCTGGTGAAACTTGCACCCACTGCAAGCAGCTGGCTCCTAACCCTCCTGGTGGACTGGTCCGGGCTTGAGGGAGGGAAAACCGCTGCCAGTGCCAACACAGAAGTGCAGTTGATTGAATGTTGGGGGACATGAAGTGCTGCTTTTTCTCTCTGGAGGAAACAGCAGACACCCTAGAGCCTTCTGAGCACCGGGCAGGATGCGTGCCCGGACCACAAGCTGCTGGCAGCACACGACTTCAGTCAGGCTGGTTGGTCCTGGGCTTTTTTTCTCCTCGGGAAAAACTGGAGATGAAGGCAGTGGGGATTTCTTTCTTTTTTTTTTTTGGAGTGATGACGGCTGGGAGGCACTGGGCTTTTCTGTACATGTCTCACTCCCATCAGTCAGGAAGCGGTGACGCAGGTTATGGGTTGGGTTTGAGGTTTTGGAACCTTTTCTAAAAGTCGATCTCCTCGCCCCGTCCTATTTCTGAGTGTGAAGCTGTGGTGAAGGCTGGTGGCGAGCAGGGGGATACCGGCCAAAATGCAGCTCCTTATCAGATGTAACGGGAGGATTTTCCTGGCTATTTGTTTAATCCTCTTTGTGGGATACACAGCACAAGGTAAAACGGGGCGGTTGTTCTCTTGGTAATCCTCTTTCTGGGCTATGCAGTGTAGGCCAAGTAGACAGCCTTCAAATTTTTCAAACTGACCTTCTTCTAGGGGTGATGAGATCTACTCAGAAAACTTCTTTTGCTAACATTTCATTTTCTGGAGGAGGAATGGTAAGAAAAGGTGCTTTTTGCAAGAGGAGCATTTCTGTGTCCCTTTCCCAGTCCAGATGAGAAAAAGACTGGGTAAAATATGTTGCTGTATGTGCGTATATTTTCAGTTTGTCTATTTCAGGATATATTTTAACTGGCCCTTTCATAGTGGTCTGCTTTCTACTGTTATTTGGTTATGTAGCTACGGACAAAGTAGGTAACAGTTCTCATGTCATAACGACTATGGTCTGCTTTCTTAGGGCAGGAAACTGCTTGTAAGTATGAGGAAATTAAATGGTTTATTCGGTAAAACATTGCAACAGGCAGCCCTAAAACAACTAAAAGGAAACGTTGATTTGTGTTGACATATAGCCCGTGGATTTTTTTCTTGCAAAAGAAAGAGAGAAGTGCTTTTCCAGCGTGTAGAGTATAACCTGTCCCCAAACTACGGCTGTGATAGTGATAAGCTTTCATCAGGTATCCCCCCTCTCAGAGGCTAGTCTTTGAAGGGTAACAGCCTGCTTTTGGTATGTTGTTTATCTGCAAATTATTCAGCTGCAGTCGGTTATGTTGCTGCCACTGTTATAACTAAAAACCTTCTTAATAATATCCTAGGAGAAGAAAACAAGTATGAAAAAAGAATATGCTGTAAAAGATGCAGAAAATTATATTTGTGAGATCTTTTTTCTCTTAGAGAAGACTGTAGGAGGTAGCTGAAAGTCATCTAGTACATTATAGAAATACATAGGGCAACAGAGAAGTGTAGTTACAGAAGGATAGTCCCAAGAAACCGAGGAAAATTAGACAGAGAGCGAGCAGGAGAAGAATGTGCCAGGAGGCTTCAGAATAAATTAATTACATGAGACCAAGAGGAAGGACAAACTGCTGCTGTTCTTATCTTTACTCTGCGTTAGTTATTTTCTCCTTTTAGAATTTTTGAAGACCTGCTTTTCAGTGACAGCCACAGTCAGGCAGCTGGGGGGCACCAGGACCAAAAATGTGGGTTTATGTAACCCTGAGTCGTGTCTAAGAGATACCTGAACTGTTGTCTCTCCTTCTGTCAGTGTGCTCTGAGAACCTACATGTTCCCTAAATCTTCTGTGGCTGGTGGCTCTATCATGCTTTGAACTTCTGGCATCCCCACCAAAACTCATCTCACTGAACCCAAAGGGGCTGAGCTGAGACATGCAAAGCCAAAGCTAAGTTGGCTCTGACCCTTGCTGGAGAAAGGGAGGGTGCAGGAGTGAGCTCTTCAGCTTTTCCCCAGGACATTTTGAGACACCTCCAGCAGCTTCAGGGAGAGCTGCAGGTGGCTGAGCTGGGTGATGAACCCTGCTGTGACATCGGTGTGAGGTAGTGGTTTTCCATGGGGTTTCCATTTCTAGTTCCCATGGACTTCCTGGTGCCATGTGCGAGATGCACCAGATGCTTCTGATAGCAAAGATGTCACTTGGGATATCAGTAGCCATTTGAAAGAAGTCTTCAGGATTAATTTAGGTTTTGGTAGTTGAGCAATCAGAGCTACACAAAGTACTTTCTTCCGCTCCGTTATCTTTACTAGGTGCTCATAAAGTTGCTAGGTGCCGGTGAATAGCGTGCTGGTGCTGGTGAGTAACATATGGCTGGTTTATCAGGTGTCCCCATGCTGAAGGCACACTACAGGAGACTGAGGTGCCGGCCCAACGCCTGGTCTGCCAACTGCATCGAAGAGCCGGGGCCCATGTTTTACATGCCCACTGGTGGAGCCAACAGGATCCTTCCTCCCATGGCAGACCCGTCCCTGTAAGTTCATTTGCTGCACGCTTGTCACTAATGCTAGCACCCAAAAATGTCTGGTATTCCTGTCTCAACAGTCCTGTCCCAGCATGGCTCATCCATGGGAATGTCAGGCTTCAGCGCCTTCACTTAAGAGACAAGAAACAAAATAATAATAAATTTAGACTAAACCAGCTGCTACTCTGCCTTTCAGGGTGAAGCGATATCAAGACCTGAGTGACACATTCCCTCTTTTTTTGCGCGAGCCCGGGGTGGAGGCGGACCCAGCCTCTGGGTCGGGGCTCGGTGACGGCAACAGCCTCCTGGAGGCGAAGCTGCCCGCGTTCCTGGCGGGCCCGCGGGGCGGCCAGCTGAAGCGAAAGCTAACGGAGGAGGATCTGCTCCTGTAGGGCTGCGGACATCGGCCCCCTCGTGACGGCGGTGGCCTCCTCGCCTCCCGCATCCCCTCCCTGGTGCCCGACCTGCCTTGTCGGCTACGAAGCAGTTTTAAGCCAATGCCAAAAAAATAAAAACTTTGCCTTAAGATCTTTAATGCTTTCACGCACTGAAACCCATGGTTGTTTGGTCTGAACTCGCTCCTTTGCCGGTGGGGCAGCC